ATATAATAATTGCCAAATACATATTGAGTTTGTACAGGTTTCATTTCTTCTTCTTTTGGATAAATCAATATCTATTATTATTCAGTAACATGGTTAAAAGTAGTATTAATGTTTATGTTTCTGCTATAAAAAAGTCCACCACCAAAGGCCAAAAATCCTTCAGCACTGTCCTTATGTCCAGTCCAACCTGTATTCCCCCACCCAACACTCCCAACTCTGTTTGGCAAAGTTATTTCTCTTGTCAGAGGTTAATGGTTTGGTCTCATTATCCATTCCCTTTCTTGATTTCTTTATAAACACATGTGAGTGGAATTATCTGGAATTTTTCTTCTCTCTCTTACTTATTTTATTTTGTATGGTACTTTCTAGTTCTTTTTGTTTTATGTGTGTGTCTAGGGGGGAGAGGAGGTCACATCCAGCAGTGCTCAGGGATTACTCTTGGCTTTGCACTCGGGAATTACTCCTGGTGGTGTTTGGGGGGACCATATGGGATCCTGGGGATCTAACCTGGGTCAGCCATGTTCAAGAAAAATGCTTTACCTGCTATACTATTGCTCTGGCCTGGAACTCTCTACTTCTATCCATGGTATAACAGAAGGCAGGATTTCATCTTTCTTCATAGCCGAATAGTATTCCATTGTGTATATGTACCACAGCTTCTTTATCCACTTATCTGTCATTGAACATTTGGGTGAGTTCTAGACTATTGTCAATAATGCTGCTGTATGCATATATCTTTTTGAATTAGTGTCTTTGTTTACTTGGAATAGGTGCTAAGTGGAATAGGTGCTCAATGGGTCACATGGGAATTCTCTTTTGTTGTTTTATTTTGGGGTCACACAAGGCAGTGTTTGGGAGTTACTCCTAGCTCTGCAGTAAGGAATCTCTCCTGGCAGTACTTGAGGGACTGCATGAGATGTCAGGGGTCAAATCTGGTTTGCCTGTGTGCAAGGCAAGCACCTTATCTACTTATACTATCTCTCTGGTCCTAGGAATTTTCTTAATTCTTTGAGAAATTGTCATAGTGTTTTCCATTGAGGCTGAGACAGACTATTTCATTTATTCTTAACAGCCACAAGCTTAGTAGCAGATGACCAGACTGTCTTCCTTATTCCCTTTATATCAGCGTCCTTTAGTGCCCTCTTGGGTTGCAGAAAGGACAGCAGTGGGAACTGCACTCTTATGCCAAACTCTCCCTTTCTCTCCCCAACATCTCAATCACAACTGCTGACCTAATGAGGCAACCACTGAGGCTGAGGCCAGCTCTCCTGGCAGCTGTGGGCTAAGAGCATGGTGGGCTTCCTGGCATGGTGCTCAGCCCTCAGCATTTTCTCTCTGACCTTGAGGGCAGTCCCAGAACCCACTGTCATCGCCAGTCCTGGCAAGCGGCAGTGTCTCTGCCCTTCATTCAGTCAGACCCTGCCATGCCTGCTCCCTGCCGTCCCACCTCTGTTGCCTGCCCACCCATATCACACTCCTGCAAATACAGGTGAGACCAAGCTGGCATGGCGTGGTTAACCTTCTAGCTGGAAATTATACTCCGAGTATTTTTCTTAAGAGGCAGAAAATTTCAATTGAGGCAGAGGGTGGTTTCTAGCTGGTAAAACTTCACAGGCTCCTCCATGCCAGTTTCAGGTACTCATCCTCCTCCCACTCCCAGCTAGCGAAGACACAGAGGGTCCTCACAGTCTGGCTCTTTCTCACAGTTTTGGGATGAGAGTAGGGTCTGTTGATGAAAGCATCTCTGATCTGTCACTCCCGGAGGCCGACTGTGTGCCAGGCTGGTGCTGACTGAGTTCTCTGCATTCTGAGCTCGGTGCTTCTCAAAGTGTGACTCTCTATCCTAGAGCCAGGGCACCCAGGGCCCAGTTAGAAATATAACCAGGGCAACATAACGCTCACCATAGCCATGCAGCCAGACCTCATGCCAGGTTGTTTCACTCAGGGCCCCCAAGAGGGAGGCAGGTGAGACCCCTCCCCGCCCCAAGGGACCCAGTCCCGGCAGCTGAAAACTTCCACAACTCAGCTGACACCACGCTCATGGCCCACTGTCCACACGCTCAGGCTGAGCATCACCCACAAGTTCACCTATTCCTGGACTGTGTGGCCACATTTGCAGTCACATGATACTTCAAACCACATACTCTACCCTACTCCAGGATTACAGCACCACATTTGACAGGATTCAAAGTAGGAGGCAACCAATCTTAGAGGGAAATATACATTTTTTAACATCTATATATTAAATACACAAGGCTCAACCTTTAACAACATGTTAGTGATCTCTTATAGAAGGGTTTAATGGCCCCTGGGTGAAATACAACAATTCTCACACTCTTTCCTTTAAGAATACTTTTTTTTCTAGCATTCTCAGCAGATTTTCATAACAAACAATACAAAAGATACTATTTTGGTTCTTGTTTGGGAAAGGAAATGGGGTTCAGGATGAAAACAGTTGAAATATGGTGCTGGGAAGGTGTAATGGTTGTGGGATTGGTGTTTGAATATTAAACGTAATCAAATATTATGAACAATTTTATGCACTGCACTGCACTGTCCTCCTGTTGTTCAGCGATTTGCTTGAGTGGGCCCAGTAACGTCTCCATTGTGAGACTTGTTGTTACTGTGTTTGACATATCAAATACGTCACGGGTAGCTTACCAGCCTTTCCCATGTGGGTGAGATACTCTCAGCAGCTTGCCGGGCTCTCTGAGAAGGGCAGAGGAATAGAACCCATCTCTGCTGGGCCAGCCGCATGCATGGCAAATGCCCTACTGCTGTGCTATCACTCCAGCCAAAACTACTTAATAAAAAAAATTAAAAAACAAAGAAACATAACCAAGGCCAGAGTGATAGCCCAGCAGGTATATTTTATTTTGCTTGTGACCAACCAGGGTTTAATCCCCAGTAACATGGCAAATCCCCTGAGCACTGCCAGGAGTGATCCCTGAGTGCAGAGCCAGGAGTAAGCCCTGAGCACTGGTGGATGTAGCCCCAAAATATTAAAAAATGAAACAACAACAAAATAAATATTAATGAAGCAGGGACTACCCTAGACTTAGGCCACAGAAACCGGGGCAGGGATGGGGTTTTGCAGCCTGTTTAACACCTACGGAGGCTGTGGCTGTGCTGTCCAGACTACGCCCCAACGTTCTAGTGAAACCTATGTGGAGGGGAGAGGGAGAAGAATGACTATCGGCTACTCGATGGCACGTGCTCATGCTTTGCTGCAATAATGCTGAGTGTTCACTCTGAATCATGCCCGCAGCCCAATGTGCCCCATAGCCCAGAGTCATTCAGGTTCTGACTCTGGGCCAATCCTATTCCAGTCTGAGCATCGCACTCACGCTGCACCCTGAGGTGGTGAGGAGAGGTCTTGGCTGCTTCCCATGCAGCTTCAGGTTTTTCTCCATGAGGGTGACAGCATCTGGTCCCCCCAATCCCCATGTTAGTGCAGGCTATGTAACCCTGTGCTGACAAGGCTAAAGTCATGGATCTTTTTCCGTCCCCCCTTTTCTACTCTCATGTGGTCCTTCAAGTCTGTGTGCTACTGGGAACTCAGTGTATCCAAATGCGTGCTTATGTGATCCCCAGTTAATTGCATCAATTAACTCACCTTCTTAAAGGCTTCTTTCCAAATATAATCAAATCTGAGGTGCTGGGAGTTAAGACTTCCACAGATTAATCTGGAGGTGCACCAGTCAGCCTACTGAGCTCCCATTTTCCCACCAGCCATGCTTCTGCTGACAAGGTCTTGTTTGTGTGTGTCTCCTGGAGTCTTCCCTGTATCTGGGTCTGCACTGTCCTTTGCCAGAGCCACGTATAGCAGGAAGAAAGAGTTCTGCAGTCTCTCTGTGTGTAGCCCCTGTTGATTCTCTAGAGCTTTCTTCAGCTTGTGTCTCTCCTGACATCTCTTTTTGCTGAGAAATGCAACAAGGGCTGCATCAACTTCAGGTGACTTTGAATTAATATTTGGTTCTTGGACTTTCAAAAGCCTGTTGTCAAACTTTGGGCAACTCCCATTCCCTGTTCCACAGCACAAAATGGGCTCATGGCCACAGTTTGAGATGTTGGGGGGTTGAGCAAAGTCAGAGGTTGCCTGATCTGCTGGCATCTAAATGATGGCTGTGCCTGGCCCTCATCAATGAACAATTCTGGGCGTGCAGAAGAAGGGGGACAGTGGGTAATTACAGATCCAAGCTCCCCTTGGTTTCTCCAAGCCCTTTGTCTGGTGTTTCTTACCTACAGGAGCCCCAGCCTCTCTGTCTCTCTCTGTGAAGGTGTGCACATGGGGCTGATCTCAGCTCTTCCAGGTCTAGGTGTGTGACCTTGGACAGGTTGGCCTCCCTAAAACTGTTTCTTAATTTGCAAAGTGGGATGAGTCGAGTTAATTAATGGAATTAATCTAGCAACCTCCTAGGGTAGCTGTAAGGATTAAATTAGATCAAGGAAGCAAAGCCCTTGATCCCACCTGCTGCTTGCAGAAGACAGTTCAGTTCTGGGAGTGCTGTGCTGGCCGCCGGGGTTTCTTCTCTGAGGCAATGATCTTTGTGCATCATTGAAAGGCCAAAGCACTTGTTAGCCATGGGTCTCCCAGGACACATACTGTAAGTACCCATGTACGTATAGATGGAAAGCCCACAGAGGAGGTGGCAAACAGGATCCAGAGAATAGAAAAGGACGGGGTGGATGGCCAAGGAAGGAAGGAGGGACCACAAAGGAATCCACAAGGCATCTGACTGCCTGCAACTATAGTAAGTGTAAAGACCAGTGATGATTCTCACCAGATGGACTCATTATACACAGCAGAGCAGTGCAGTGCTGGGCCAGAACCCAACATCCCTCGGTTCCCACTGACTGAGCTGTCTTTTCTACAAGGTGCCTAGCCTGCGAACTTCTCAGCATCTTAACTTGCTGGAAGCTATCCTGGCTAGGCAAAGATATGGACACCCATTTCCAGTGACATGTGTGTGAACTTTCTTGCCTTTTGTTCTTTGCAGAGGAGCTCAAGGCCCCCTTGGAGGAGTATGTGCACAAGCGCTATCCTGGGCTGGTGAAGGTGGTTCGCAATCAAAAGAGAGAAGGTCTGATCCGAGCACGCATCGAGGGCTGGAAGGCAGCCACAGGCCAGGTCACCGGCTTCTTCGATGCCCATGTGGAATTCACGGCTGGCTGGTAGGTCACAGCGGAAAGTTGGGGGCCACTGAAAACTCACTGCACAATCAGGCTGGCTAGGATCTGGGGCAGGGGCACATCACCTGTTTGTTCTGAAGAGTCATAAAACTTAGACAGAACAGGGGAGTGAAGAAAAATATGTCTGCTCTCAATGCTGAGCATCCTGATCGTCATGGTCATGAAAGCTCCCAGTGACAACCATGTCTCCTTGGACAGAACTCACAGCAGTCCTTGTGCAGGCTTGGCACAGCCAATTTCTGCTTTCTTGCCCCAGTTGATGTCTTCTCTTTTCTGGGAAGGCAACATTTTGCAATCCTACCTACCCAGGTAGAGCTTCTCAGAGCTTATGGATCATCTTTAACATCAGAGGGGTGAAGGGAAGAGGCCCCGATATTGCCTTGGGATTAAGAACAGCATGGGAGAAATGGGGGATATTCAGCGAGCATATTTGGCTGCAAGAAGAGTAAAGCAATAAAAATGTTCAAATCATCCAGCAAGCATGTTGACGCTGGATCACGATTTCAGAGTTTAACAGCATGGGTATATGATTATTGCTAACTAACCAATGATAAATCAAATTGGAGTTAAATAACTATAAGGTTGTTTAATTGCTCAGAGGCAGGGACTTCATTTCACAAAACTGTATGTTTACACTCAGTGATAGCATCTTCAATAAAAGCTGTTCACAGAACCAAATTTAAAAAGTCAGATTCCATCGCTAAAAGTGAAAATTCCTTCTCATCTCGGTTTGCCGGAGACAATAGAGTAGTCTTACAGCTGGGAAGGAAGAGGATGGTTCAGGTGACATCTCAAGGGGGAGAACTTGGGGTCCCTGTTAACTCTGGCCCATGAGAGTACATAAAAGCATCTGTTGCTACTGAAAACACCAGTTTCCTTTCATGTTTTTGGCTATCATCAACTCGGATGACCTGCAGTCTTGTTTCAGCCCTGCCCACCCTGAGCATCGTTTCTCTTTCTCAAACTCATCCCCCAAATATGGTCCCCAGACACAACAATAGCAGCAGCATCGCCAGGACGTTGCTGGTCTTGAATACTCATGGGGTCTACCTAAACTCAAATATCAGCATTTTGGGTTGGGTTCCAAGCCCTCCAGCTGGCCCTGATGCTCCCTTAAGGATGAAAACTGTCGAAGTCAAAGTTGTCTGCAGAGAAGCACCAGAATGTTCCATTAGTGTCCCTTGCCTTCTCCTCCACATGTGGCCCCTCATGTCTGCCTATCATAAGCTTATCTGCCTCTCACTTGACTCACTTCCCATTCTGTTGCTCATCCCACCCAGATCGGTCAGTTTTCAGGGACTTTCACAGGACAGGAATTTTCATGGGAAAACAAGCATGGTCCTGGGAAAACTGGGACAGTTGCTCCCTAAATTGGGGGGGGGGTAGAATCTGACAATATGGTATCCACCCTCCAGAATATACTGGCCCCCAATACTGGCCTCTGTATCCAGGCCTACTCCTTTAGCTGGTCCCCCACACTTAGCAGAGTGATATTTGACCCCATGGCCCCTCATTGCATCCACTTCCCCTAAGCTAGACTGCAGTGCTCATTGCCTGACCTGGTGGCTTATGACAAGAGATTTCAGTCTCATTCATGTGGCAGGTCAGCTTGGACTATTCTATATTTCCTGTGTGCTCTGAGATCTAAGAGGCACTCTTGTCTAGAACAAAACACTTTTTTGGCAAAGAGAAGAACAATCGACCCTGCCCTGGCTATTGACATGTCTGCTCAGATGTGTCACTGTATCACTGGCATCTCCCTTGTATCCCATTGGCTAGACACATTGGTCAGTGTCAGAGCTCAACAGTAATTGGTGTTGAGGGAGGGAGTGTCCCTCTGCAGGGCTACTGCAGAGCAGGTGGACTGTCCCCCAGGAGGGAAGTACGTGACTGGGGGCAGTTGAACAATCTTTCATAGAGTAGGAGATGCTCTTCAGAAGTTTGTTCTACTTGGTGTTTTTTCAGTGCTCAGGGCCATTGGCTGCTTCTCTGCTGTGGTCTGGCTGAAGTGTAGCCTTTCAAGTGACACTAGAGGTAGGCCTGAAGGCAAACCATCTAGGTGAGAAACCCGTTTCTGATCCTGTAGCCTGAACGGACAACTTAACCTCTCTGAGCCCAGTTTCTTCATGTTAAAAGTGGGGACCATAGTCCCTCTGATGAACACCAGAATCCGTATCTGGCTTCCTGGCTTGCTGCCTTAAATGGCCAGGTTTACTCTATGACTTCAGTCAGTTGCCTGTCTTTGTAGATGATTTTATGGGGGCAGGGATGGGGTAGAGGGGATCTACACTACAACACCAGCATACAATTCAAGTAGCAGTGAGGGTGGTGGGTAGGTAGGAACAATTTATGCTGGAGCTTTGGGAGACAGATTCACTGACAAACAGCAGTGGCGCTCCAGAGAGGTTGTGGCAGCTGTCACTCACTGGGAGGGATGGGTCTACTGTTGAGTGAGGGTTTCTGGCAATTGTCACAGGGGGATTCAGACCACAGATGTGAAGTCCAAATCTGACCCAATTGGATCCTAAATTCATACTATATTTCAGAGGAGTGATACGAAGCCCACCTCTAATTTCAATTGAGGGATGTCTGCATGGCCAAATCTTCATCTATCCTTGCCTTTTGCACACAGGCTTACATGTCACAATATGAATCTGTTGCCCTACTTTGCATCAGTGAGGCCTCAACCCCATTCCTCAGAACCCCCCCATATTTCATCAGTTGGGGTGATTAGAGTGGCAGTGACCATAACTGACTCTGTCCGGATTGTTTCAGTATCAGTGAGTCTTGGTGTCGGGAGTCAGATGTGATTCAGCTCAGGTCATCCTAAGAGTATTAGGATGGGGACCAGATGTCGAAAGAGCTTAGACAATTAAATGATGTATCTGGGGCTGGAATATAGTGCAGCCATGAGGATGCAGACCTGGCATGCACCCAGCCTGGGTTCGATTCCTACCAACACAGACACAAGTATCATCACTGAGACCCTGGAGACCCTTAAGCACTGGCAGTTGTCTGAGTACTCCTGGCACTACAGGGCTGGAGCCTCATCAAATCCTTGGGTCTTGCACTGAACAGACAGCCTGGCTGGCTAAGAATTGCCTGTGGGGGTCCCTGGATCTTCTGAGCAACACTTAGTAGCCCTCTTCCCCCCTCCATCAAAAGAAATAAAAAAATCTACCAGAGCAGCCTGAACAGTCTGGTGAAGATGGCTTTAGAATTGAGAGGAAGGATGGACTGGATGGGGAGGACACTTGCCTGGCATGTGGCTTACCCAGGTTTGATCCCCAGCATCCCATATAGCCTCCTGAGCACTGTCAGGAGTGATTCCTGAGTGCAGAGCCAGGAGTGACCCCTGAGCATCGCCGGGTGTGGCCCCCAAACCAAAAGAAATTTAAAAAAAGAACTGAAAGGAGAGAGCAGTCTTCTTGAGTGAAATGAGGGAGGGCTTCCAGGCAGAGGAAGATTCCTGCATGGTAAGATATCCTGCCAGTGGCCAATGATTTCCCCAGCTGACCAGTATGGGGAGGACTCTGAAGGAAAACTCGGGGGGAATTCATGGGATAGGTCTCTGAGGAGGAGCACTGAAGGAGAATTCTGAGGGTCTGTGAGGTGGGACTTATGGGAGAAGACTTCAGGAGCTTAAGGGAGAGAACTCTGAGAGGGATTCTGAGATGAGTTCATGGGGGGGAGGACTTGGTAACTTGAAGGGGAGGACTCTGAGGGGGCCTCTAAGGGAGGATTTTGAGGGGAAGTTTGTTGGGGGAGATCTTAAGGGGACTCTGAGGTAGGATTCTAAGGGAGACTCTAAGGGAAGACTCTGAGGGAGGACTCTGAGAGGGACTCTGAGGGAGGACTTTGAGGGGAACTTTTGAGGGGGGACCTTGAGGGGACTCTAAGGGAGGACTGAGGGGAAGCTTGTGGGGGAGGACTCTTAAGAGAAACTCTGAGGAGAAGCTTGAGAAAAGGACTATGAGGGGGAGCGCTGGGGTTCCTCAAAGCTCTGGGAACTCAATGAGATTTGGCTCCAGCCTCTGTGGACTGTGCAGACAAGTGAGAGGCAGTAAAGGGACCCAGGTATATTTTATTGCTCATTTTAAATAGAAAGATGAGATGAGCCAACAGGTAATTCAGTAGCTGCAAATGAAAAGAGACGGGCTGTGGGCCTAGAGTTCTCATTATTCTTCCAAGTAATGTAGAGGAATGAATTCTCTGCAAACCTCCCCCACTTGTGTGTGCCTGCGCTCTGTTCTCAGTGGGGAGATTGACACCCTCCTCTCCTCCCCAGTGGGGAATGGGGCCTTTCTGGGCCGGCCTGGGAGACCCACTCGGGCCTTTGCTCTCTGAGCCCGAGGGATTACACCTGGAAGCCCTAGCCAGCCCCTGCCCACAGCCCTGAGAATGCAGCCAGCCCCAGGCAGAGTTCAGCTGCCTTTGCATTTAATTAGTTTCCTCCTGCCAGTGCTACCAATTTAATTAGATCCCTTTTAAGAAATCAATTAAATAATCAATTAAAACAACAGAAATAGACTTACACACACACACACACACACACACACACACACACACGCACGCGCGCGCGCACACAAAGCAGATAGATTTGCATGTTAAAAGCAGGCCATGTAGGGCAGAAGTGGCCTATTTGGGGAAAGGGAATTCAGCTTAGGCAGGAAACCCCTAGAGCCTTCAGTCGGTCTGAGAAGAACTATGAAAAGGAAGCCCCTCAGCAGCCATGCAGAGCCTCCTGGTAAGGTACCCTGTAGGGTAAGAGAGACTTGGAACCTCTGTGATGCTGCGAGAGTCCTCCCCCCCCCACACACACACACACCGTTCTGAGTGCTCTCCAGGCCTCTCCTATCGCAACAGGCTGCATTATGGGGGTTCCCCAGGAGCCGTGTCTTTAAAACTGCATGCTCTGTCAGGGCCTCAGGGCCTCAGTTTCCTCTGTTTTCCTTCCTTCAGTTGCTTCTGTCTGTTCTCTGTGATCTTAGAGATTTGATTTCTGCTTCTCTGTGTTGCAGGGCCGAGCCAGTTCTCTCCAGAATCCAGGAGAACCGGAAGCGCGTGATCCTCCCCTCCATCGACAACATCAAACAGGATACCTTTGAGGTGCAGCGGTACGAGAACTCAGCCCACGGGTACAGCTGGGAGCTGTGGTGCATGTACATCAGCCCCCCGAAGGACTGGTGGGATGCAGGAGACCCTTCCCTCCCCATCAGGTGAGTGGCTACTGACAACCAGTTTCCAGAGCACCATGGAGCCCCCATGGCCAGGAGAGGCTGCCTCCGAGGGGGCAGCTGCTTTGGAAATTTGGAGTTTCTCTGCTTCTAATTTCCTGGCCAGAGTGTATTTGCCGGAACTTGTAAATGAATGACAGTGCTTAGCCTGCATCATCCCTCCGCATCATAGTCCTCACAACCAGAATCTGGGAAGTGGAAATTCTGAAAGGGCTTCTTTACTGGAATCTTCCATGCTTACAGTCTCTTGTAACTATGCTGTGCCCCTGTGCTTGGCACAGCACAGGTGATCAGGAAGAAAGGAGTGTGTGTGGATACTGGATTACCAAGGGCCAAAGGTGAACGCAAGGCAAGGAAACCTCCTCGCAGATCCTCTGAAAACTCAAATTATAAGGGTGCTGAATCAAGTGGGAGGGTTTGGGTGCCATATTTGTTCCACTGCAGAAACAAACCATCACATCCTTACTTTGCTGGTAGGAAGCAACCCAGCCGTCTTCTCTTAGTGCTGTCCAGGCCACAAGGTCAGAAGCAGAAGCAGAGTTGTCAAAGTCAGGAAGTTGTGAAGGTGGGGTAGAGCTGTGAAGGTTGAGGGTGGAATTCTGAAGGTCAGAAATAGATCCATGAAGGTTAGGAGTGGAGCATGAAGTAGAATTGTGAAGGTCAGGAGTTTGAATGTTAAGGTCTAGGGCTATGAAGGTCGGGGTAGAATTGTGAAAGTCAAGTGAAGGTCAGAGGTAGAGCAGTGAAGGTCAGGGTGGAGGGCTTACCAGTTGTTGAACCAGAAAGTCTCAGGTTTGCAAGATTTAAGGGGTTCTGAAAGTTGAACAGTAATGTGAGTGTATTGTTCAGTGAGACTGATAAACTGTACACATTAAAATGGTTAAGATAGTAAATACCACATAGTGTATTTGTACCATGGTTAAAAAGAAAAATACCAACCAGTGGGTGAAGGCTTGTTGACCTTGAGGTCTTGAAAGAATGAAGTTGAAACAATGAGCTCACAGTGGGTACATTTCCTATTGGGCCCCAAATGCATCCTCCCTGACCATGGGGAGGCTGACTTCCTATATGGTAGAGATGCGGACTGAGGCAACGGTGTGACCCAGGGGTTCACAGGAATGTGCAGGTACAGGGCAGTATGCTGGAAGCACATCTCCCTCTGTATATAAGGCATTCAGCTAAATGTGACTGGTGGCTTATGAATTATGGTCAGATTAACAGATGATTAATATTCGCTCTGAAGAGACTCAAGAAAATAGACTCATGATCATGAGTCATTAACATTACATGCATCTCTGATGTACAAAATAGAATCAAACACCAATGATGTCTTTTTAATGTATCATAACTTATGAAATGCTTAATTTATTAATAGTTGATGGAGATATTTAATTGCAGGAAGGGGTTTTATGGCCCTTCTGATGTTATTAAGCAAAAATGATGCTGTTTCTTAAATGTTAAGATATGGTGATTTTCCCCTGTCCCCCATGATCCCCAAATTTTTATTGCTATGATTTTTTTTGGGTAAAGGATGAGAGAAAAGCTTTTTCACAATCTAAATGGCATTAGATTGGACAAGTTCTTCCATACTGAGTCTTCTCAGCAGGCAACACAATAGAGGAGATTTTACACTAAGAGGATTTATAATTTTTCTGTCTTATGTCTTCCATGCTTTCTTCTTATTCCTTTTTTCCCCCTTCCCTTGCCTGGTAAACAGCTAATTCCTTAGCGATTCCTCCACTCATCTCTGTCTGTATCAAGGCCATGGGAGGGAAGAGTGGTAGGTGACATTAAAAAGGGCATGGCCAGGGTTGGAGAGATAGTACAGTGACACAGTACTTGCCTTGCACAGGGTCAACCTGACTTCAATCCCCAACACCCCATATGGTTCCCTGAGCCCCCCTAGGAATGATCGCTGAGCAGAGTGATTCCTAAGCCCTGATCACCTCTGAGTGTGTACACCCTCTTCCCCCCAAGAAAAGATAGAAGCCTGGTCAGCATCTTTGGGGTTAAGCCCAGCTGGCCCTATTCTGCCTCAGGGAACAGTCACAGTTCCTCTGCCTCTGAGATTCTTTGGTGACAGACCCAGAAGGCCCCCAAATCTGTTTGAAATGTTGATTTTTCTTCAACATCATCTCTAACGCCACATCGGTACCCAGTATATTTTGAACTTAAACAATTCTCTTTTGATTCCATGACTTTTTTGTGATCTAGTGAATGCCCTGGGTCATAGGCCTCCTAAACATGGGGAAATGGGCAGAACTTGGTGTCAGATTTCAGGGGGTTCGCAGAGGCCTTAACTGCTCTTATCTGGCTGACAATGTGAATATGGAGAACTAGGTATATCTGACCAGCTGTCCGCCAGCCTCTGCTCTGTGAAACCAGGCTGTGGCTGCCTATGTCACGGTGCCCAGTGAGTTGCTGGTGCTCAGTACGTCAGTAGTGAAAATATTTATGAATGAATGATTGAATGGAGACACTCAGGCTCAGAAGAGAGGAACGGGACCATTAGAAAGAGGATGGGATTATCTAGCAGAAAAGGAGACTCCACCCTCCCTCTAGTTCCGGAACTGAGAGAACTAAGTAATGGATAGTCTGAGAGATAAGTGGGCAGCCTGATGAGTGGGGCCCTGGGGGTGGACATGAAGATTCTTCCCTTTGCACATGGGATCACTTGTCATAACCTTGGGGAAGTCACTGAGTGGTGAATTGAGACTACAGTTGTGGAGGAATAAATGGGACATAAAAAGTGGAGACAAGGAGATGGGGCTGGAGAAATAGCACAGTGGGTAGGGTGTTTGCCTTGCACATGGCCGACCCAGGTTCGATTCCCAGCATCCCATATGTTCCCCCAAGCACTGCCAGGAGTAATTCTTGAGTGCAGAGCCAGGAGTGCATCACTGGGTGTGACCCAAAAAGCAAAAATCAAAAAACAAAACAAAAAACAACAAAAAAAGAAAAATGGAGACAAGGAGAGTAGAAGACACTTCTGGAGTGTTTGGGGCTTCAGTCCTCACCTCCTCCCTCCTTCATCTTTCCTGGCACAGTGTCTGACCCCAATAGGTCAAGCAAGATGGGAGGAATAAAAGGCTCAGCAAGTTCTTCGCCCTGTGCTGGCTCTCTGGGCAATAGACAGTGGAAGCTGTCTTTTTTGGGTTACTTAGGAGGGTCTTACTGTTGCTCAGTTGGGGCAAAAGGCAGATCTCTGGCTCCACATTCTGCCAGCATCATACCCATACTACCTACCCGTAATTCTCCCTACTCCAATAAGCATTGCCATTTTTCCAGTTGATAATTCCTACTTTCACCTGAATCTTTAAAGCATTTATTTCTTCCCAGATTTACCAAGCTCCATAGTATGGGTGCAGAAAAGGTCTAGCTTTAAGGTATAAAACTTGATTTTTTTTTTTGGAATATGTATACACTGTGGAATGATCCCCAGGTCCCAGCTAATAAACATTCCCATCACCTCACATACTTGCCTTTTTAATGGTGAGAACTTTATTTCTCTTAGTGAATTTAAAACATCAGGTGCATTAGTAACCATTTTCCTGTGTATAGCGAAACCCGTTCTGTACATGGGGTTTCTAAAACTTATCCTTTGTGGGGCTGGAGCAATAGCACAGCGGGTCGGGCGTTTGCCTTGCACGCAGCCGACCCGGGTTCGATTCCCAGCATCCCATATGGTCCCCTGAGCACCACCAGGGGTAATTCCTGAGTGCAGAGCCAGGAGTAACCCCTGTGCATCGCCAGGTGTAACCCAAAAAGCCAAAAAAAATAAAATAAAATAAAACTTATCCTTTGCTCTGCAACTCCCCACTTCTCTCATCCTCCAGCTCCTGGCAACCTTATTTATACCCTCTTTATATGAGTTCAACTCTTTGCAGATTCCATATATAAGTGATATCATGTGGTCCTTGTCACTCACTGACCCAGCGTCTGTTCATGTTGTAACCAATACCATTATTCCTTTCTTTTTATATATTCTTTTGCATCTCTGTCGCTTTTCCATATCTATTCATCAACTGAGGGAGTCTGGGTTTATTTCCAAGTCTCATAAGCCACAGCCTTAGACATCCCTTTTTCGTTTCACTGTGGTAAGATCAGTGTTAGCAGACCTGCCATTGCACCATGTCACCTGGCCTGGTCCCTTTCCCATGGAGGTTCATGACCCATCCACAGCTCCTGAATCCTCCATCTACATGAAGTCTTCTTGGATGGGCCTGTTCTGGGCACTCTGGGGGCAGGGGGTTGGTATCGTGGGTTGGGTGGAGTATCCAGCTCTTACATGACATGGAGGGGGCAGGCACCTATCTATGTGCTTCTTCTCTCCTACGGTGAGCCCGCACAGTGGTACCTTTACAGGAGAGCTACCCAGTGGCTCTCTTCTGGGTGCAGTGCCTGGTTTCTGGGATTCACATCACTTTGTCCAGCCTGGAAGAGGGAGGTGGCCCTCCCAGACCTGCTTCTCCTCCTCAAGACCCTTTCCCTTTGCTGAGCATGGGTCAGGTACCTGGGAGGCTGTTTCTCTGCTGCCAGGAGTGCTGACCACCAGGCTCAGGTGCCATGACTGGGCTCCCTTCTACCCCCTTGGGGAATGGACTGAGCTTTGGGTGGGATGGAGGCCTTCCCTGGGACCAGGTATTGGGCCATGCATACGCTGGTAGATTTTTCTGGCTTCAGAGGAACATCTGACGCATTGCTCCCCTTCAAACCCCACTCTTTTGTCCCCATCACTCAGTGAAGCAGGTGCCAGATCTCTGCTTTTATTTTTCTTTTTCGGTCACACCCAGTGATGCATAGGGGTTATTCCTGGCTGATGCACTCAGGAATTACTCCTGGCGGCACTTGGGGGCCCATTTGGGCTGCTGGGAATCGAACCTAGGTTGGCCTCATGCAAAGCAAATGCCCTACCTGCTGTGCTATCACTCCAGCCCCTCTGCTTTGGATCTCTTGCTGGTGCTCTCGGAATTTCTGTGGTC